AGAGAGAGAGAGAGAGAGAGAGAGAGAGAGAGAGAGAGAGAGAGAGAGAAACTTTAACAATTGTGGTACACATCATTAAGTACTTAAACTTTTTATTTTTGGTATAATAAACACTAGGAGACCAGGCTACTTAAGTGACATCTGTGGTTTTGTTAGCCTAATTCATTCCCAAAAGATAACACCAGCAGCTTTCTGACCCCAAAGAAGGCCAACAGACAACTGTATTATACTATGTATATTGCATACATGCTCTACTATGTATATACATACTGTGCTTGAATGGGCCATTCTATATATGGAGAATTAAAAATGCAACCTAACATTGTGGAATTCACTACAACTTTGATAGCATTCTTAGGAAGGACTTTCAAACCATTTGTTCTATCATGTTTGAAGGAAAATGGGATAGTGTAGGATTAGGCCTGCCCTAGGAAGCTTATAAAAGCCTGACACAGAAAGCAGTTGGCTTTTTTGCATAGTAAACTGTGTTTATGATATTTTACTCTTTATGCTTAATTTATAGTTGTAAACTACACTATTTTGGAAGGATTTTAGGCAATTTTGAAAGTTGTTCACATTAGCAATAATGAGCTGTAAAAGCTCATTTTTGTTGAAATTTCATGCCATATTTATTGGCATTCTCAAAGAAAAGTACTTTAATGGTGATTTTTCAAGTAACCAGCAACACTTTTACAAAGAATCCAACTGGATATTTTTAGGTTTTAACAATAAGTATACTTTAAAAAAAAATGTTGTTTTGTACCACCCTGCTTATAGTAAATCACAGCAAATATAATCACAGAAGCATTCTTAGAGTGGCCATGGTGCTTAAAAACTCCAGGAGTAAGTATAAAAGAGTGCCTGCGATCTAATCAGTTCTGTTCAAAACCTGTTCTTTTTCTTACAAAGCAGCTTGCTTGCTTACTAAAATAAAGCATGCAACTTTTTTTTTTTTGGCAAAAAACACAAAAAACCAAAAAAAAAAAAAAAAAAAAGAAATCAAATAACTGTGTAATGAGCATTCGCAATGGGCAATCCCGCATTCTGGACAAAACGCGCCCCAAGGGCACACGTGGGGCCTTTGGCATGGACAAAGAATGGCATCATGGAGGGAAGAGTGAATGGCTTTTTGACAACTGGCTACCTCTAACATCTGTCTTTTCCATTTCTCCTGCCACCAGCTTTGTATAGGCTGACACACTCACTTTCATCTAGCGTCCAGGGCTTCATAGCTTTTTTCACTCTTGACCCCTTCAGTGCTTCTTAAACTGTGGGTCGCGACCCCACACTTTAAGAAGTGCTGATTTCAACTGTTCATCTGCCCCCGGTTTTCTTGCCTTCCAATCTAGCCTGCTCATGACTGCTAGGAGAACCTTCTCAAGGCACTTATGATCTCACCACTTCCCCTCTGCTCAAAAACTGTCCAGCTTGCTCCAGTTCTCACTGAATTAAGTCCAAATTCCTCAAACTGCCTTTTAGGGGGCAGAGCCAAGATGGCGGAGGGAAAGCAGTGACTGTCTTCAGCTCTCTCCCAAAGCCCTCCAAATACCTAAAAAAAGGTTCTAAACAAATTCTAAAGAAACAAAACCCACAAAAAGACAGAACAAAACAAATTTCCAGCCAAAGACAGCCTGGATGGTTGATCAGAAAGGTATATTGTGCCGGGCTGGGAGAGGAGCACAGTGCGGTGTGTGCGCGCAGGCTGCAGCGACCCTGGAGCAGGCCTCAGAGGGCTGATTCACAGGCAGCTGTGGCAGTTTCCAGACTTTTCAACCCATGAATGCCAAAGACAATGTGAAAGGTCAGTGGGAAAAGTCTGTGACTGCAGTGAGAGAGGAGCTAGGTCTCAGCCACAAGTCTCAATCGCAGCCCAGGGCAGCGACTGTTTCCTCAGCTTCTGGCCCACAGACTGAGGGGGAATTGAGTGGCTGATCAGAGAGGGATTGCAGGGATCTCTTTGCCAGTGCTGAGGCAGGAATCTCTTGCTTTGCCCTTGCTTGGATCTGGGTCACAGTTCTGAGGGGCAGTCCTGGGGTGAGGAGGAACGCTGGCATGGTGGAGCTTGTTGTTGCTGTGGAGAGGAAACACCTCGCCCCTTATCATACCACCTTGGAAGAACTGAAAATTTACAGGTCCCTAGAAGTACCTCTGAAAACAGCTGTGCAAACCCCCGAAGCTTGGGACAGTACACTCTTCACATTGGAAGCAGACTTTTACCTTAACAAAGAGTTTAAAACTCAAATAATTGGCTGGGATCATGAGTAAGCCGCGCAAAAAGAGTCAGACTATATTATCTTACGTTGGTGACAAAGAAGATCAAAACATACAACCAGAAGAAGACAGCAAAGCCAAAGCTCTTACATACAAAGCCTCCAAGAAAAATATGAATCAGTCCCAGGCCTTGGAAGAGCTCAAAAGGGATTTTGAGAAGGAAGTAAGAGAAGTAGAGGAAAAACTGAGAGTGATGCAGGAAAATCATGAAAAACAGTTCAACAGCTTGCTAAAGGAGACCCAAAAAAATAACACCTTAAAAAAATAGCCTAACCCAAATGGCAAAAGAGGTCCAAAAAGCCAATGAGGAGAAGAATGCCCTAAAAAGCAAAATTGGTCAAATGGAAAAGGAAGTCCAAAAGATTACTGAAGAAAATACTTCCTTAAAAATTAGAATAGAGCAATTGGAAGCTAGTAACTTTATGAGAAATCAAGACACTGTAAAACAAATCCAAAAGAATGAAAAATTAGAAAACAATGTGAAATATCTCATTGGAAAAACAACTGACCTGGAAAATAGATCCAGGAGAGAGAATTAAAAAACTACTGGACTATCTGAAAGCCATGATCAAAAAAAGAGCCTAGACATCATCTTTCAAGAAATTATCAAGGAAAACTGCCCTGATATTTTAGAAGCAGAGGGCAAAACAGAAATTGAAAAAATCCACCCATCTCCTCCTGAAAGAGATCCCCAAAGGAAAACTCCTAGGAATATTGTAGCCAAATTCCAGAGTTCCCAGGTCAAGGAGAAAATATTACAACCAGCCAGAAAAAAACAATTCAAGTACTGTGGAAACACAATCAGGATAACACAAGATTTAGCTACTTCTACATTAAGGGACTGCAGGGCATGGAATATAATATTCTGGAGAGCAAAGGAGATAGGATTACAACTAAGAATCACCTACCCAGCAAAACTGAGTATAATCCTGCAGGGGAAAAAATGGTCATTCAGTGAAATAAAGGACTTTCAAGCGTTCTTGATGAAAGGACCAGAGTTGAATAGAATATTTGATTTTCAAAAACAAGACTCTAGTGGAACATGAAGAGGTATACAGGAAAGAGAAAATCATAAGAGACTTATTAAGGTTGAACTGTTTACGTTCCTGCATGGAAAGATGATATTTGTAACTCATGAGACCTTTGTCAGTATTGGGGTAGTTGGAGGGGAAAAATTACATGTATATATATATAGATATAGAGAGACAGAGGGCACAGGGTGAGTTGAAAATGAAGGGGTCGTATCTGGAGAATAAAATTAAGGGGTGAGAGAGGAATATACTAGGAGAAGGAGAAAGGGAGAGGTAAAATGGGGGTAAATTATCGTACAAAAAAAAACCAGAAAAAAAAAAGGCTCTTACAGTGGAGGGGAAAAGGGGGAAGGTGAAAGGGAATGAGTGAATCTTATTCTCATAGGATTTGACTTAAGGAGGGAATAACATACACACTCAATTGGGTGTGGAAATCTGTCTTACCCTACAGGAAAATGTGGGGGGAGGGGGAAGGGGACAAGAGAATAGGGGAATGATAGAGAGGAGGGCAGATTGGGAAAGGGAGTAATCAGAAGCAAATACTTCTGAGAAGGGACAGGGTCAAAAGAAAGAATAGAATAAATGGGTGGGCGGGATAGGATTAAGGGAAATAGAGTTAGTTTTTCACAGCATGTCTACTATGGAAGCGTTTTGCATAACTGCACATATATAACCTATATTTAGTTGTTTGCCTTATCAATGAGGGTGGGTGGGGAGGGAGGAAGGGAGAAAATTTGGAACCCAAAGTTTTAAAAAGGAAGATCAAGAATCTAGAATCTAGAGCAACAAGTGTCCAATTCAAATGCAAATGAATCTGTATGGGTTGCATATTGATTTAGAATACCACAAATTAACATTAAAAAAAATAAATAAAAAATAAAGTCCTTTAAAAAAAAAAACAAATTCCTCAAAATGTTGTTATTCCTTAACAATTTAGTCTTTACCTAACTGTCAAACCCCATCACTCCTGGGAAAGAAACTGTCTTGTTTCCCCTTATCTTGAGGGCTGTTGATAACATTTTTTTTTTTTTGCCACTGACAGTTTAAAATATGAGCATTATGGCCCTGTTACCAGAGAACTGGAAACTGAAAATCTGTTGACACAGTTTTCAGCTTTGTCTGGGCTTATTGGGCACCACCCCCCCACTTCAGGTTCAGTTGGGGAAAAAGCAACTTGTTACAGAATCATAACAGGTCAGAATGGAAGGACAGCTAAAGATTAATTTAGTCCAACCCTTCTTATTTTTATAGATGAGGATACAAAATGAATTGGCCAAATTAAAGAGCTAGTAGTAAGAGCCTAGATTTCTTCATGTTCAAAATAGAGCCATTATCTTTTGCTCAAAACACCTCCCTTATTTCTGTTAAGTGCCACCATTCCTGCAGTCACACAGATTTGCAAACCTCAGAGACCCTTAACTCCTCATTTTTCTCACCCCGCCTCCGCAGCCGTCAGTTGGAGTGTGTTGTCAATTCTACTTTCACATGTCTTACAACAATCCCCTTTCTCTTCACACACAAGGTCACTACCCTAGCTCAGGTCTTCATCACCTTCTTCCTGATCTACTGAAATACCTTCTTTGTTGGTTTCCCTGCCTTGAATCTTTCCTCTATCCAATCCATC